GGTGCCTGGGGCACCCGCCGCGCCCACGAGCGGGGCCAGCTCAGCCCTCCTAGGCCACCCTGCTGGGCTTCGAGTTTCGCAGGCACCCTGGAGGACAGGCCTGGAGGACAGGCCTCGCCCACCCCGCCTCTCGCTCCCCGGGACCCGCCCTCCTAGGCACACATGCAGAGGCCCGCCCAGTGCCCCAGTGCCCGTCACCCATTGTTGTTCTCAGTGCCCTTCCATCTGCCCCACGCATGTGGGAGGTGATGGGAGGCATGGGTGGGGAGGAGGGTGGAGGCTCGGGGAGGAGGTGTGGGTGGGGAGGCAGAGAGCATTCGCAGAGTGCTGGCAGGTGGGCAGCTCTGGCAGCACCAGGCCACGTGAGCCGGGGCAGCAGGACAGGCGTGTGGGCCCAGGTCCCCTGCCAGGTGCGGGTGTTGGGGAGCCTGTGTCTCCCTTGAGCTGGACGACGAGAGGGCTGTGGGTGGAGAGGGGCGGACTGAGGCTGGGCAGAGCCAGGCACAGTGGGTGACGTGTGCACCCTGTGCTGTCACCCACGGGGCACACGTCTGGGGAGGGGCCTGGTCAAGGCCCCCCACGGCCCCTCTCCCACCACGGTCTACCCATGGGCCACACAGCCGCCTGTTTGCACGTGGCTGTATGCACCTCCCAACGTCACTCATGGCCCCGGAGAGGGGTCCCAGCCAGGGAACGGCCACTGGGCAGACGCCAGGCACTGGGACAGCTGAGACCAGGCCACGTGTGGACTTCCCTAGGCTTCTGCCTGCCCTGCCGGTGGACGTCCGTCTCAGGGGACCTATAGAGAACTAGGATGGAGAAATGGGCATGTACACTCTCCCACAAGGCCACTACGACAGCCCTGTGGGCCCAAGTGACAGCCTACCCCGACCACGTGGTGGGCCACCATGACCACCGTAAGCCCAGCTCAGGGCAGGCCCCAGCCCTGCCAGACGTCCCTACCTCGAGAGGCCCTCAGGGCTGAGGAGCCGCCCTGCTGCAGTGTGCCGAGGTGCACCTGCCCTTGGCCTGGTGGCTCCTCCTCCTCCTCCTCCTCCCCCCACCAGTCTAGTCCCACCGGGCCACTTAGCCCCATCCTGGCCCTCAAGCTCTGTGAAAAGCCTCAGGCTGGTCACTGCAACCTGTGCCCAGGCTAACCCTCGGCCAGGAGCTGGGTCTGCTGGGGGCCAGGAGAGCCATGGAACAGAGGCCCCCGTGCACAGAGCCTGCTGCATACGGTCAGCGTGGCTTCCTGGGGCCCCTGACCGCTTGTGCAGAGCCTGCATGTAGGCGGGGCAAGGCTCGGCACCTCCAAGCACAGACTGGGTTCTATGGGAGGTGCAGAGTGGAGGCCGCTGCAGGGAGGCGGGGCTGCGGTGGTGAGCAGGGGCTACAGGAGACAGCGCTGCCAGCATGCATGTCCGCCGTGCCCCCAGGCTGCCCATGCCCCAGGGGCCGAGCCACGATAGCAGCACCTAACCCACACAGGCATGGCCCGATCCCTTCTGCTCAGCCTGGGGCCCCGTGGGTACTGGGGCAGGGCCTCATGGAGCACCAGGTGTGTGCTGGGGGGTATCTGGAGCCAGGCAGGTGGGGAAGGGCGCCAGCACACCGGGCAGGGATCTCTGCGAAGGGGCCGCCACTCTGTTCCCCTCCCCAGCAGCAGAGGTTTGGGGACCAGTGTGCTGTGTCCAGGCCCAGCGCGACTGCAGCTCTCCTGGCTTCTCAGCCTGCCCCAGCCTCCCGGCTCTCTCATGAGCAGCCCTGTCCCATCCAGGCCCTGGCTCTGAAGGAGGCAGAGAGCAGCCGACTGCAGGAGGAGCTCTCCAGGGCTGCCCGGGAACTGGAGTGGGTGCGGCAGGAGGCCCAGAGACGGCAGAAGCAGGCAGAGGTGAGCCTTAGGTGGCCCTGGCCAGGGACTAGATGGCCCATTCCTGCCCGGCCCAGTGGTATGACACCCCCACCCCCACCTGCCTAAGCCTTAGTTTCCCCAGCTCTGCTGTTTATGGCAGGGAAGGCCGCAGTGCACCCACACCGGGCTCCCGGTCCCTGCCCATGGCACCTGGCACAGACAGTGACCCTGTCGGGCCCTGTTCCCCCTCACCCTCGGGAGTGGCAGAGACCGGGGAGGGGGCCCCCACCAGTCTAGTCCCACCGGGCCACTTAGCCCCATCCTGGCCCTCGAGCTCTGTGAAAAGCCTCGGGCTGGTCACTGCAACCTGTGCCCAGGCTAACCCTCGGCCAGGAGCTGGGTCTGCTGGGGGCCAGGAGAGCCATGGAACAGAGGCCCCCGTGCACAGAGCCTGCTGCATACGGTCAGCGTGGCTTCCTGGGGCCCCTGACCGCTTGTGCAGAGCCTGCATGTAGGCGGGGCAAGGCTCGGCACCTCCAAGCACAGACTGGGTTCTATGGGAGGTGCAGAGTGGAGGCCGCTGCAGGGAGGCGGGGCTGCGGTGGTGAGCAGGGGCTGTGGGCAGCCGCCAGGATCTTGTCCAGATGGAGGGTGGGTGTGAGCACTGGGCAAGGAAGGAGCCAACTCGAGGCACCTGAGCTCACAGCCTCTCCTCGGCAGCAGGCAGGTCGAGGGCAAGGCCTGACCGGCTTGGTCACAGCTCTCTCGGCTCCTGCCTCTTGCGCTTCCAGGCCCCGCCCTCTGTGCCCCTGGGACTGGCTCACTCCCGCCCAGGAAGCCCTTTCCACCTGCTCTGGCAGATCCCCAGCCCCGGGACATGCACTGGACAAGTGGCCCAAGGTGCCGGGCCAGGGACCCTGCTGCCTGTCCTGTGAACGGGGCTGCTGACTGCCCGGGAGGTGTGAACAGGCAGTGGGTTGGGGCCGGGACACGCAAGGGCCAGGAAAGGGCTTCCCGGGCGGGAGTGAGTCGACCGGTACCCGGGGCGGGGACTGTCCGACACCCCCCAGAGCTCCGCGCAGCAGGAGGACGTGTCAGCTGGGACCTGGCTGCCTCCTCCTGCCTGGCCCCGGGGAACTCAGCAGGTTAGCCGAGGGTCTGGCACAGCGAGTCTTACCCCAAGCCTCGGCTCTCCCTGGGAGGCACGCTCTGAGCCCACGCATCGTGGTGGCACCCCTCCTTGCCCAGACCTGGCCCAGCTGCAACCCCCGCTCCACCCCGAGGCCTGTGTTCCGGGAGCCTCCCTGGGAACCAGCTGGCCGCAGCCTTCTCTGGCACTGCCCGTCTGCTCCAGCTGCCTCCGTGGGAAGCTCATTAAGCATTCTTTACCACCTCAGCTCAGAAAACGGAAACTGAACCACTGAGAGAAGGGGCAGAGGCGCCCGCTGAGGGATGCAAGTGCAGGGTGGTACACCATGACACGGGCGGGCTGGCCCTGTCTCAGTCACTGCCGTCCTCAGGGCCACCCGCCAGGGTTGCCTGCATAGCCTCCCAAGCACCAGTGCTATGGCTGGGGGCATGGCCGGGAGCGAGCCGAACGTGCCACCACGGGGACATGCGGACAGGAGGCAGGACCGGGAGCCGAGGAGGCAGAGCAGGGGAGCCCATCCCAGCGGTACCCATGAGCAGCATGAGCTCCAGCCTGCTGCCCGCCCGAGGTGCCCTCAGTCGGCCATCCCAGGAGGCCTTGGTGGTGTGACTGGCAAGACGACAGGCCGGACTGAGCTAACCCTGAGAGATCGGAGCAGGCCCGCACGTGGCGGCCACGCCTGCAGGCCGGCCCTGCCCGGGGTGTGCAGGCCGAGCAGAGGGTACCCCAGGCACCTCAGAACTGGTGGGCGTGGATGCCCCTAGCCCCATCCACACAGTGGGGCCTCTCCCAGCCTCGCTGCCTCTCCCGCTCTGGGGTCCCGCCTCCTCACACCCACAGGCAGACCCGGTCCCTGGGAACAGTCAGATGCCTGCTCCGGGAGGGCCCCGTCCCTGTGTGAGCATGGCGGCTGCTCACAGCCCGGGCCCTGAGTGCCCCACACCCACGAGGCCATGTGGCCAGCTGGCCAGCCAGGCCGAGGTGGCCTCTTCTCATTTGGCAATGACCGTCCTGGTCCCTTCTGAGCTAGGCAGAGCAGCCGACCAGGACTATCGTGGGCAGGAAAGGGCTAGGTGAGCCTGACAGGGCCCCTCCACCCCTGCCTATCCCGCAGTGAGGGCTCCCCCAGAGCTCCGTGCACATCACCCTCCGACGTCCCCGACATGGTCAGCAGGAGGGCCTGACTCAGCCCCTGGCCCTGCTCAGCCCCAGCAGCTGGTCTGGTTCGAGACCAGGCGTGGTGCAGGGAGACCCTGTTTCTACGGGCAGGCAGCCTGACCATCACCATGGGCTTCCTCCCTGCAGGCCACCATCAGTGCCACGACCAGGGAGCTTACCACACTCCAGGTCCAGTTTGGGGAGGCCATCTCTGCCCACCAGAAAGAGGCCACGGCTCTCAGAGACAGCCTCCGGGACATGGTGGCCAAGCGGAGCCACGCGGAGAGAGAGGTGGGGGCTCCTGTGCAGGCGAGGGCTGAGGTGGGGCCCTCAGAAGTTCCCACTGGAGGCCACCCCGCACTCCTGGACGTAGGGGAGGAGGACCCGCTAAGGGTGGGTTTGGCTCCGGGTGGAGGTGTACCTGCCCACCACAGTCCCAGTGTGGCATGGCACACCTGGTTGCAGCTGGGCGTCATGGCATGGACGTGCTCTGGTGCAGGCATGCGCACGTGTCCCTGCCTGCAGACTCCACCTCAGGCCTCCCTGTTCGGCAGTGCAGCCTGGGTAGGGGGGAGAGCGGACCCTAGCTGGACCCACCAGCCATCCCACGAGTATGGGAGGGTGGTGCCCGGGCGGCACAGCCACCAGCAGATGGGGAGCCATTGGCCACCACATGGGTGTGTATGTGCATATTCGTGTGTGTGTGTGTGTGTGTGTGTGTGTGTGTGTGTGTGTGTGTGCATCTGTGGGACTGCAGGGAGAGGCACAGGCCTCACGACAAGCTCAAGTTCCCAAAGAAGGTGCAGGGCTGGAGAGAGAAGGGGCCCAGAGAAGACAGGGTGGGGGGGGGAGAAGGGGCCCGAGAGGATGTGAGGGGAGAGAGAAAGAGAGGGAGGGAGAGGAGGGGCCCAGAGAGGATGTGGAGAGAGAGAGAGAGAGGGAGAAAGAGAGAGAGAGAAGGGGCCCTGAGAGGATGTGGGGGGATAGAGGGGGAGAGGAGATCG